GGGGCAAGGAGGGGGCAAATGGCGAGCGCACCCCCTCAAGGAAGACATCCACCAGACGGTTGTTCTCCTCCTTGTCGGCTTGGTGCCGGCGGAAATCGTCATACAGCTCGCGCAGGATGGCGAAGCCGACGAAAAGGAAGAGCGGCAGGATGGTGGTCAGCCGGCCGGTCGGTGAGATCCCCGGGATCTGCTGCAGCAGGCCGATCAGGAGGAAGTAGAAGTTGGCCATCTGCAGGGGGGGGGGGGCAAGGGAAAAAGTTAGACGGGGCGGAGAGGGAGAACCCGGCGAGGCAGGCAGGCAGGCAGGCAGGCGAGCAGCCGCGCCGGGCGTCGCCAGCATCAGCCAGCCAGCCGGCTGTGGACATGCGGCAGGGAAAGCACCGCGCACCTTGGAGAACTGCGCCAACAGCTGCCGGGGGAGGAAATCATACCAGGTATAGCGCGCCGTGCGGACCGTGTTGCTGAGCAGGGAGCGCGCCACGGGTGACACACCGCCGGGGGTGCCGCCGGCCGATCCGCCGATGGCCTCACTGGCGCCAGTCCCGCTGAGCTCCTGGATCGCCTGCTTGGCGACATCGCGCATGGTCAGCACCACGGCCAGACCCATGTCACCGAAGGTCAGCGGCGGCGCACGCCATGCCCCGGAAAAGGCCCCGCCATAGAAGACGGCCGAGGTGGAGGCCACGTTGCTGGAGCTGCCCTGGCTGTGAGTGGCCATGGTGGCCCAGGCGGCGGCCGTGCGCGGCAGCGGGACCGCCCGCTCGCTGTACGGCGTGGGCAGGCTGGCCAGGCCGCCGGCCAACTGGGCCGACGCCTCGGCTGCCGGAGATGGCACCTGCGGGTCGGGCTGCACATTGTCCGGGGCCACGCTGCTGTCAGCACCCTCGGACCCGACGAAGGAGGGCGATGGGCTGAGGGGCAGCTCGGCCGGGGTGGCAAAGGTGCGCAGGTGTCGGGGCTGGGCCGCGGCCGCGGACACCAGGGGCGTGGTGGTGGTGGGAACGCCGTCGGGCGGCGCCGGCGCCGGCGCCGGTGTCCCACCCGGCAGAGGGGCGTCCGTCCCGTGTGGCACGGTGGCTCCGTAGTTCATCGGGCCAAGGGACGGACGCGGGTGTCGTGGCCGGGCGCGTTCGGGCGAGCCTTGCAAGCGGACGAGGGGATCGGCCACACGCGAGAGGGCAGGGGGCGGGAAGGGGCAGAGGGGGGGGGGGGAGGAGTGCAGACAGAGAGAGAGAGAGAAAGAGAAAGACGGAGAGGGGGGGGAGGCAGAGAGAGAAAGCGAAGGGGGCTATCGGGCTGTGAGGAGAGGGGAGTGAATGGTAATGACGGGCCTCCGCGCGGGCGGATCCGCAGGGGGGAGGGGCGTCTTTTTGTTTCCCCTCGGCGGGGGACCGGCGTCTGGTCGCTAGCAGGGGGCTGGCCCAGGCTAATCTGGTGGCCTGCCACGGCGGCGAGGCCAAAGAACGGGCGTCCTTCTTTCCCCCTGGGGGGACTCCTTCGGCATATTTAGTCCATGGTGGCATGGCAGCGGGGGGG